AGTCGCCTCGTCGTCGTTGGACCAGCCGTCCTTGGCGATACCGGCCAATGGGAAGTACGACTTGGATTTATCGGAAGCAGCGGTCATTTGACTCGATATGTGTAGCTTTGGTGTTGAGTTCAGCCAGGGAGCGCAAGTCCCTTTTATACTGGGTTGAATCTGGATGAGTAAGCGAGTGAGCAACTAAACGTGACCCACGTACGTCCTCATGAGATTCAAAGCAGCTTATGGATCAAGGAAGCTTGCTTATCGACGAGATTTTCAGAAGCAGGAGCGCCACCCGAGGCCCACGGCGGCGCTACATGACGTATACGTGTGTCTGAGGCGTGGGTTAGTTCTGGATAGGGGGACTCAAGCAACTTACGAGTTGTAAGTACTTGGCTGTTTCCGCTGCCGAGGCTACAATGACAAGCTTCACATACTTGGAATATCGGAATCGGATATGTTCGTTGAATGCAGCCTTGGGCGTTCCAAAGTTACAATATCACCAGTATCGATATCGCTGCCGGGCACGGGGCAAGTGTGAGAATTTAGAAACGAGTCGCGGTCATAGAACCCCCCGAGTGAGCCCGGGGGAAGACCTTGATAACAACTCAAGTACTCAATTCGCTGAGCCATGGTTAGCCTCGTGACGTTCTAAAAAACCGCGTAATCCGTTGACGTGGGTTCGAATTTAGTTCGAATACCTAAGGCGCTGCTTGGGCGCCGCTCGAATGCTTCTACTGACGGCGGGCGCTCAACTGCACTCCAAAATCAATTCAACGCATTTCCATTCCGGCCAGGCGATCGACTCGCCAGCAATCAGCTAACTGCAAAACCGCATGTAAGTAGAGCGTTTCGGAAAAAAAAGTTCACAGGCAATAAATCAAGTCGATAAGGTCCACGCTCCGCAGTAGCAAGAAGTGAGCGTTCCTGGAGAGCTGTCAAGACTGAACTATTTCGGGCCAGAGTTTTGCAGTCAGCGGACAAAGTTCAACGTATCTGTTTTTAAACCGGCTATAGACGGACAGTCAGGGGACGTTTACCATAAACAATGTCTGGCCGCACTGGATCGCGCATGTTTCCCAGCCGACTGGGCCCACTGCAATTTTGCAACCAGCTGGAAATCTCAATTTAAGGATTTCTGCTATTTAAATCATATTCGTGCAAGAACGAGCCAGAGGTGAATCACGGAAACTGGAAATCACCTGTGAATTAGTTATTGGATATAGACAGTCATTTGAATCCCCATCGCCTGAATATCCTCCAGGTCCTCGTCCTCGCTCGAATCCTCTTCGTTGCCCGAGTCCTCTGGGATTCTGTCGCACCAGTTATATGTGCTTCGAAACACGGGAGTAATGAACGCGCGGAAGTAGTGAAACCCTCATCACCTCGGAATATGAGGAGCGTTCGGAGCCGGGGGAAAGGAGTTCAACCACAGAGCAACGACCGTAGGTTTCAAGCGGACAAGATGGCGTGTACTTTGAAGGATGGGGATCTGCTGGGAAGTGGTCACGTCATCGAGCGTAAGGGATTGGTCAGGGACGTCCGTTGAGACCAGGGAAGCCATTCCACGGGGAACCAAAGATCGATTAGTGACACGGCTTCAAGCCGAGGGAAATCGACAACAGCTGGCGGCCCTTGTTCCCAACTCTCCTCTATCTTGAGCGAGAGACTTTTGCAGTGGGAGCAGTCCATCAAGGATATGCTCCCAGCGTTCTCGATCAGGAAGAAGGGCGTCGTGGCATTCTTCCGGAAGGTCATAAATACCGGAGCTGGCCAGTGTTCCATTGGGATTGAGAGAGCACAGGCTCCAGATGTGTCCAGCCAGATTTTCATTCTCTCCGTCTCTGTATGTCCGCACAAAGACCGCCCTCCAGAGTTGAGGCGTGACCAATCCGATGTCTCGCCACTGCCGACAAAAAGGGGTGAGAGCGGTGGGAGATGAGCATCCTGTCACTGGTGAGCAGCGGGGGTAGGGGGGAGGACTTAGACGAAGATCTTGGATGTGACTTTATTTGGAAGGGCGAGAACAGGATATTTGTACGCAATGCGCATCCAGTCGTCCCTGGGTCGTATTCTTCTCTGTCCGGAGGAAATGGAACCCCTTTTCGAGTTCGTGAATCTCCGCCTATTTGCAACCTATTTGTGCAATGCGCGCGCAGTCAGGTCACCGTCAGGATTCAGATGCGCCATGGCGACTGCTGGCATTGAATGAAAACAGGTTCAGGATTCGGTGGCCTGCGTACGGTGACGGCCTCGGTTTGGTGGAAACTCGAGTCGGAATCGAAAGACTGTCAATGGGACCAATTGAGCCGCTCAATCTCGGGCTCAACTCGTTGAGGGTCAATAATTGAGGCTGGTGGCAGAAGAGCGCTAACGGCATATTGTTCCGAGGTCATGTGATCATATGACTTGCTCTTGTTCTTAACCGTCATCTCGACCCAGGTCCGACCTCGTCTGGCTTCTTATGCATACACCGACCTATCACCGCTGTTTCAAACTTCCTGCTACCTGGCTGGTCAAGTTGTCTCGCATACCACTGGCGATTGCCCACTGATTCCGCAAGAGACTGACTGAAAAGACTGACTGCTTCGTGACCCCTGGCAACACGAGTGACGACTCAGTTTGTCTCTTCCGACACGCTCAAGAACGTTTACTTATAGAGTAGGGCACTTTTCATCGAACTCCGGGGGATCGAGTCCGAACTTCAACCAGCCTGAACGTTGAACGTTGAACCGGCAAACCGGCAAACCGGATCGACGGTCTTGCTGCGTAATACGGTGGTGTCATCGGGCTTCTTGCTGCATAAAGTAACTCCGCGAGCAGTGCCACAGCTGACTGAACACTGACAGCTCTAAAGCAATGGGGGTTGAAATCGACTGCCGAATGGATCCCGCGGCGACGCCGCCAGACGCCGCTGTGGCGTGCTCACCGATGTCCGAGGAGCCGACTGAGTAAACCGAGATCTTTGATGCGACGCAGCGCTTATCGCGGCTGTATCCCGGGTCGGATATTCGTCGAGTGACTTGCTTTTCGCGTGTGGTGCCCAGAATTCACGATTCACCGGTCATTATTTGAGCTGACTCTTAGCTGACTCAGAGAATTTGGAATCAGAGACTGATGAGTCACGCGTGTTACACCTCCGACCAATTTGAATGACGAAATCAGTCCGCCTTAAACTCGGACCACACACTCCCGGTTCCCCGCCACGATGTCCTGCATTTCGGTCCACCTTATATAGCCCTTGCCTTCGCTCCCTTCCCAAGCCCACCATGTCGACCTGCACCGTCTGCTACAAACCCTTCAATACCCCCGTCTCACTACCTTGTGGTACGTCTCCGCACCCATCCCACCCTGCCTTCCTTCAATTTGATTGAATGAAAACAGGCCATGTATTCTGCAAGGAGTGCATCTGCAGTGGCGTCGAATCCTCCAACGCCAGTTCCAAACCTTGCTGCCCGACATGCCGGATACCATTTCCCGTCGGTGCGTCGTCACTTCCCTCGTCGAGCTGGTGCTGATAATGAATTGCAGTGAGCGTGGACCCAATGCTCATACCACCATACTTGCGACCGCACTTTCTTCCTCCTATCCGCCCGGTGTACATTGACTCCCAAACACTTACTGCCTTATCCACCTCGCTACCGACGCCTCCACAAAGCAATGCGTCATCCCCCGCCTCCTCGCTCACCAACTCGGAATCACCATCAACATCCTCCTCACTACCCATCCAGCCCGCAGAATGTACAGCAATGGACGCCAAGATCCTCGCTGCCCTCCACATGACTACAGCGACTTGGCGCCGTCGTGCCGAAACACACGCCGCCGCCAACTCGTCCCTCCTCGCCTTCTCACGCTCCGCCCGTGACTGCGCCCTGCGTCTCCGGGCCGAGCGTGATTCAGCACGAAACGAATGTGTTGTCCTGAGGCAAAAGATTGCCGAGATGGAACGGGAACGGGCGGGCTTGGCAGATGGACTCGGACTCGGAGTCCCGCACGCATCGCCGACACCACCAATCAATTCACCCTCACCATTTGCCCAACCGTGTCACGGTCCCCGTCGACAGACCGCCCTCGCCCCGCCCCAGCGTATCGGACTTCCGCTATTCGTGATGCAGTGCAAGGCCCAGGCGCTCGCTAATTTCGCATCTCCCGAGAACACACGCAGCGTACTCGAGGGCCCGCCGTTGAAGCGTCGACGGACGAGTTTGTGCTCCTCTTTTCCGTCCGTGCCTGTCTCGGATTCGGGTTCGCGTTCCGGTGTAGAGGGAGAGTTGGACACGGAGGAGAGGATTAGGTTGGAGGAGTCACGGTGCGTGATCGCCAATTGGTTGGGATAGCCGTTGCATCGTTCTGTCAGTTTTGGTTGGCTTGCAATTGGTGGGTTGGATTGTGTACATATTAATCCTTGCTTCAAATCAGACACTCATTTAATTGTTGAGATGATGAAGCATGCGCGCTTACTCGAGAGTCAAGATATGAGTGAGACTAATTGGATTAACAACGTGGAGACCAAGAGCACGTACGTGCATAAGAATGGACCTTATAAAACAGATCTGGGAGACGCGATCGTAGCGATGAGCGGAGAGTACGCACCCGGCACTATGGCTTCACAAGCCGCTGGGGAGCTCTCAGTGAGGGCCCTCTGGTTGAGAGGCCGACTCGGAGGTAGGCTTTTCATGGTCGGATTGGTAGCGCGTCATTGAATACAACGTGAAAGCAAGGCGGCTTGTGGCACGCGAGTTTAACCCAGCTGGCAAGATAGCGGGGACGAGGGGTTTCTCCAAGTGACAGTGTAGGTGAGCTCACAGTGGGACTCGCGGCAAAGCGGGCCGGTGCCAGGGAGTTGGTTCGAATAGGGAAACAAGGCCGTTGCTTTTTATGCAACGTATTGGAATACAATTTTCGGCAGATTGCGACCTGAAAATTGTTGTAAATGACTAGTCCTCATCATACACTAGAGGGATCGACGTACCAGTTGGTCCAGGACTGCAAAAAGGACAACTTCAGTCCGTGTATGCCCACTAGCCGATTCGAACGACTGATCTTATCATCGCAGACGTTGGTTTTATGCGATACGAGTGATACGCTTTACCCCTAAGCCAAGCGGGCGACGAGGTAAGTGATCATCTGGGGTCCTTGATATCTATAGGTTTTGGTCAACAGGATTGAAGCCACACACATGCACAGTGCGAAAGTGAAGGAAGGGCCTAAGCACAGAAACTACCTACCTCCGAGTCCTGGAGCCTCCACGATCTCTCAGTCGGCGGGACGGCCACGCAAGCAAACGGAAGTGAGATGAATTGCCATGACAAAAAAGGGCCGCCCCTTGGCGGATCAATTTGGGGTGAAACACCATTTGACGATTTTGCTGACACCAGCGCAGCAAATGTCCCGGAGAATTGAATTGACGTCAGCTGCGCAGGTCAAGGCCGCGTATAGCGGCACGGGCTCATTTACCGCCGTGGCATTCGATATATCGCGAGGTATTTGCTGTAGAGACCATTCTGCTGTGGAGAAATACAGCTGCAGGATGGGTAGAAGATCGGTGCTGTGGGGACGAATGAGAGAGCGAGCAGAGCCACAAACAAAGAGTGGATGACAGAAACCCGGCTTCGGCAATTCCAAAAACGGGTAAGCAGCCGCTTACACACGCACCGCCTCGTCATTCTTTTCCTCTGCGCCGCAGCCGCCCTGACTCAGACATCCCGTGTATCCGTTTCTCCGGCGCATTTATAAAAAACAGCTGTTATGGCCGCTCTGAACATCCACCGACTCACCTTCCACAGTCTCAACAATGTACTCTCCGCTGGCTGACTCGTCTTCCTCCTCATCGGGCTCGTCTCCGAGCACCTCCTCTTACGGCGACTGGAGTCCCAGCAGCAGCAGAACCAACAGCCCTGTGCATGCCGCATCTCTCGTAGACCCAGCCATGCACTCCTCCGACCTCTTGGAGCTTATCGATATTGAGATCTCCCAGCCCGTTATCGGTTCGTTCCCATCTTCCCTCATCTCCCCCAGCTCTCGCTAACAGACATTCAGAGTACCTCGTATCTCGCGTGTCCTCCACCGTCTCGTACTCGCTCAAACGCTCCGGCGTGACTCCATCATTCACCCGCTCGCCCTCCCACCTCAAAAAGTTTACGACCTTCGTGTCCACCGTCCTCTCCCGAGCAGAGGTCTCTGCCGCTGACGTGCTCGTCACGCTCGTCTACCTCACCCGCGCACGCGCCCATCTCACCATCGCTCTGGAAGAGTGGGCCCTGGAACGCGTTTTCCTCGGCGCGCTGATTATTTCCTCCAAGTACACCAACGACAGCACCCTGCGTAATGTCCATTGGGCTCTCTGTACCGGTGTATTCGGCAAGCGGGATATCGGCCGGATCGAGAGAGAGTTTCTCGAGGTGCTGGATTGGGATTTGGCTGTGACCGCGGAGGATGTGCTCGCTCACCGGGAGGGACTCATGCAGGTGGCGGAGGGTGTTCCTCGTCTCACTGTGGTCAATGCCGACCCGTTGCCCATCAGCCGCGCCTCCTCCTCCTCCTTCCCCTCCCCTGTGGTCGTAGGCTGCCCCGACCTCGAGCCTTCCTCGCCCCATTCGAGCATCGGCAGTCTCTCACCGCCCACGCCCATCTCGCACGCCATCTTCCCCGATGGGAGTGACGTTCCCATGGACGTGGACGAGCTACATCAATCCCCTATCCTCGTCTCCCTCCCCGTCCCCAAAAGGACATTATGCCCCAAAAGCACGGGCCACGGGCGAATACACGCCTTCTTGCACTCGCTGCCAATACCGCGACATCATCATCATAACCACCACCACGCTGCTTCTGTGCGCGTCGCGGCGTAGGTCCCCCGTGTGATTTGCCGTCGTTGGCGGCTCCCCTCACTTTGTCGAATTCGATGCCGACTGCCGGCTGGCGGTCGACACCGCACGCGCCGCGCCCCTTCGCCTTTTGGGCATGCAGGGGTGCAGCGTGGTGGCGAGGCCAGAATACTGTACTTCCACCAAGTACCTTTGATATATTCGAAATGTACCCTATGTAGTTATCTATATGCGACATCGTTGCCAAACTTGAATGGATCTTCACTCTCCGAATCTTTGTTCTTTCACGGAGTTTTGTGATCACATCGACGCCGCCCACCAATAACGAACTCCGAATCCGAGAGTTAACTTTTTGGCGGGTCAAATTGGCTTGCGCCCGCGCAAACTGGCTTGTATCGGGCGGGGGCGGGGATTTTGGTCTGATCACCCGCCCCCGCCCGGCTAATTGGCGTGCACGCCAATTTGTTGGCTTGGCAAGCCAATTTGTCGCCTCGTGCCAAGCCAAATTTTGAGACTGGCTTGTGCATTTTGTGAGTCTCAGAGATGGTTTATTCCCATTCTGACTACACAGGATGCATCCCACAATGTCCCCCCTTGATGCCCAGACGCTTCTTTCGAGCAATACTATTGCGGTGATTAATATCCGGCTTGACGGCGACATATCTTACTGAACAACATCCTCAATTCTCCCCCGCCGGCTGGCTTGCGGGCTTCAGTGAGTGAGTTTGGGCTCTTTCCACCCCCTGCCGGTCTGGAACCGAGTAGAAGCGCCTTACAACGACGGAGATACAATAAAAAGGGTTGAACCAACTGCACTGGTTGAATAAGTGATGTTTGAGTACTTGAAGTGCGAGATTCTTGACTCATTCTACCCAGTGGACTTGTGAAAAATCCACCGGGTGGTCGTGTGGCTCTTCACGATGGCTGATGCGGGCCGTGCGGCCATTGAGACAGACATTTCCACCAAAAAGGCACCTCTGACTCAAAGTTTTGTTCAATTTCAATTGAGAATACTTCATGGAGTACATAAGAGCCGTCCTGTATAGATGCATCATTGAAAGATCCACGAGAATTGTGTTGTTGAGTTCAACAATCCACAAGCCAATTTGCCTGATGCGATCAAATTGGGCGCGGCCGGGCTTGTGGCATTTTGAGGAGGAATCTCTGCATTATATGCACTTGGGCCACTGTATGTAGTCTCAGAACATGTCTTAGTAGTCTTATACATGCAAATTTTATACACTTGGACCGCGGACGAGGGAGGTTGAACTAGCAATTTCCGATCACAAGCCAGTTTGTCGCTTGCCATCAAATTGGCGGGCAGAAGATTTCCCTGGAATTTCAGTGTTACAAAGCAACCTGTCCTACGAGTTCAATGCAGAAGACTCCCAGAACGGCCCTTCCGGGACGTTAGTTGGACGTAGCATCGTAAATGGTGCCACTTACTTGCGCTCGAAATCAACACCGACTCGGACCAAACACGACACATACCCACTCCATGCATACGAAGCTCGCAACCAGACCCACATGTTCAAGCTCATGCCCGCTTCCTGACGCCAGTAAAATGAGATCGAAATCGAACCAAACCCGTGGGATGAGTTGATAGGAGTGGCAGTCGATGTTCATGATTCTGCCCAGGGATTGCCTCGGCCTTCCCGGCGATGTTGAAACAGATTCATTGTCAGTACTCTGATGATATACTAAGTGCCACCCACCTGCCGTGGTGAACTACAACCCCAAGCCCCAAAGCCCCAACACCGCCGACGGCCCGACGCCCGCTAGACGTGTTGCGCCCATCAGGTAATCCTCGAGTATAGGGGAGTCTTGTCAGGGACCGGGCAACTGACGGGACGTGGAACGAGTTGAAAAGTGTGACATCGGCGACCAAGATGTGCTGAACGACGACGGCCAACTGTGTTGAAGTCGACGGTGATGGGCGATGGCACATGAGGTACTGATGTGAGTCTGGAGGCGCTAAGGCTATGAGAGCGTGGAGGAAATACAAAGGAATTGACTGTTAGCAGGCACAAGCCACGCCCACGCCACGCCCGCCCACGCCCACGCCCGCCAAGCCAAATTCAAACTCCGCTAAGCGGCGCAAGCCAATTTGGCACGCCAATCTGAGAAGTCTGCTCCGAATCCACATTCCGCATCCGCACGCGAGTCCATCGGCATTCCATTATAACTACATCTACCAAGCTCATTATCTCGGTCTCTTTTCAAGTTTTTTCTGTCCAGTTCTGACTCGGAATTCATTCCTAGTAAGTATGGTTCCGTCCGCAAGATAACTTAGATAAGTACTTAGTGTCCGTTTGAGAACGAAGGGCCCTTGAAATTACATGCAGCTACACATTACCCCCAAAAAAACAAGGCCTATTGATCATTTGCCACACTATGCCCTGCATAAGACGGCGGAGCCGCTGCGCGCTGCTGGATTTCTATCAGATTGCGCATTTGGTCCTGCAATTCTTGAATTCGATAGTCAATGTTGGTGTTGGAAACTCCTCCCCTCAACTCCCGCGTCTCGGGTCCGGTAGCGGTATTACTGGTTGGGTCACTTCTACCGAGCGGAAGAGATGGACGAGGGGAGCCTGACAGCCCAGTGGGTGGCCGTTTCAAATTCAACCGTCTGGAGGTCGCGTCGCGCATATCTGAAGAAGTATTGTGGATGAAAGGCTCGAGTACTGAATGATTTGTGAGTATATAAAGCCCAATTACTTGTTCCCACTTACAAGTACCATCGTCCTTCGAGTTTCGTCTCTTTCTTCGAAGGAGCCACAATACCAGTACCACCAAACAACCCAGAGTAACACACCCGCCCACAGCTCCACCGACAATGGCTCCAAGTCCATCCTGGTCTTTCTTGGGACTCGGAGCCAGACTCGAAGCCGAACTCGAACTCGAAGCCGAACTCGAACTCGAAGCCGAACTCGAACTCGAAGCCGAACTCGAAGCCGAACTCGCAGCCGAACTCGGAGACATACAGAAGTTAGGCTTCTCCACGATGGTTTCAAATGAAGCAGCGTATGTGATATAATCGATCTGCGCAGAAGGCATGGGCACGCCACCGATACTCGAAATTTTGGCGCTAAAGGTGTGATTGCCTGATGGAATGTTGGCAGCGTTGAAATAAACGAAATGGGGCTTGACGACATCCGCTCCAGCGCTGAATGCTGCATTGGTTGTGTTTCCGTCCAACGTGAACTCCATTTCCAAGAACCAATCAGTTGCTGTATTTAGTCCCGGCGTTACACCAGATATGAGCAGGGATGTACCTGGGGGAAA